AAGATAGATGTAGACAAATATACATATTTAATAATGATTCAGAAATATTACGCTACTTTTGTACATAGTCACCGAGCACATTAAGCCATTTATTCTATCAATAAATAAAGTTTTGTATGCCAATATCATAGAAGGTCACTGCCTGTGAGGTTAGCCAAGATGTTATGCCAAGATGTTCATCATCGTCATCAAAATGCTAGCCACTGAGGAATCACTTCAAGTGCAAGAGTAGGTGAAGTCACTTGGTGTCAAGTCAGGGCTATATAGCATATGATTCATTTGTTCTTAACCAAAGAACTTGAATCACATGGGCAAAATGTGGTCTGGCATTGTCTTACAATAAAATGGCACCGTAACTAAATAAGTTGCATCTCTTGCTTTTGAAAGGCACATCACAAGTTTTTCAGTGTTGCAACACTAGGTTTTTTGTGTGTTAAATCCATCAATATGACATCTTTTATGTCCCAGAAAGTGGTGCACATGATTTTGCGTTTGGAAATGGTCCATTTGAACTTCTGTCGAGTTAATGAAACTACGTGTTTTCTTTCCATTGATCTTTGTTTCAATGACGGGATGATGTGACAAATTCATTTCTCATTACAGTGACTGTGGGGTTTAATAGTTAACCCCCTGGCTTTGTATTAGTTGAGAAAGGTGAAAACAGCCGCAGAACATATATTTTTATGCTTCTGTATAAGCAGTTTTGGTACTCACCATGCACACACTTATGGGTAACCCAAGTTTTCAGTTTCATACAGAACGGTAGGTGAGACTTCAGGAAACACTAACAAAAATCTGGAGTTTGTGAAACATCTATTTGCATGAATTTTCACATCAACTTGATTAACTAGTTCATCATTCACAGCAGATGGTTAGCTATTTCTAGCTTTATCATGCATGTTCATTCTGCCTGAACTGATCAGTCAAACCCTCCTACTAATCATTCCCTCATTCCTGGTTATATCGCCACATATGTCTTTGCATATGGACTTTGGAGAGTCACATACTACTTGCATTCAAAAAACGAATTACATAATGAATTTCACTGTTGACAAGACATTCTATAGTCTTAAACATCTTTAGCACATGTCAGCGTTTCACCATGTCAGCCTTGCTACTATGATGCATTCTTTAATCTTTGAAGAAGCAATACCACATAGGTTGATTAGTGACATCTCTCAGGTGCAGGAATTTATTCTTGAACTTACTTTTAGAATAACCCTTGTGTGTATGTGTGTGTGTATAATATAAAATTGCAATTATAGATGAAATTTAGGTCTGTCAAAACTAAAATCTAGCTCTAAAGCAGCCAAGATGCATAGGAAAGGAGATAAAAGAAATATGATAGAAATATTACCAAAGGAGCAAGACTGAATCTTAGTAAGTAGATTGTGTAATGGAATGTGTTCAAAAATAATTCATTATGGTATAGGGTACTGTGTTGAGTTTCAGGTAAAAATGTTTTGCTCATGTAAATATTCATTCCCCATGCAGATTTCGGATATGCTCATGTAACACTTGGATACGCATTTTACATATGGGGCTGTGACTAAAATGGAGTACCTATTTAGAGGGCGACTGGGGTTTATAGGGGTCCCAGTCTCCAAATCCTGGGTGTGGAGAATCCTCATCCAACAGCCTTTTAGTTTGGGCACCACTGTAGAGACATTAGGATTTTTGAAAGCAGACAAGAGGAAAAATTAGCAATTGCCTTCGCCGAGATTCGAACCACGTACCTCTGAAATACCGGCCCACCGTGCAGAACCACTACACCATGAAGGCACGCTAGGAAGGTGGGAGAAATATCTTATAAAGTGTCTCTTTTGAAAAAAAAAAAAAAAAAATTCAGCTGTTGAAGAAGTGGAATCATTTATGTGGAAAGAAATCAGTGCAGAAAAGTAAAAACAAATGCAATTTGATCTATCAAAGAAAATAATAAAGAAATGTGGAAAAGATAAGATGTTAGAAGTATGAAATAATTGAAAAATTAATGTCATTATTTAAAGAAGTTTTTTTATTAAAGTAAAAAAGATTCAAAGAAATCTGGTTTATTAAGTAAAGAAGCTGTATCAATAGTTTTTTACATAAAAAATCAAACATATGATTAAATATCCAGTTGTGATTAGCTATAAAAAATTTATTTATTTCTCCTTTCAAACGTGATTCATATTCCCTGACGAGAAATTTCAGTGCTGTTTTAGTTTAGCTGATAAATGTCAAACCACACTACCATGATAGGCTAAAATTGCAGAAGAATTAAAATCGAAGATGAGTCCTGGCTAAAATTACACAAGAATTAAAATTAAAGATTGAGACCTGGCTAAAATTGCACAAGAATTAAACTCAAAGATGATACCTTTAAAAATTGAATGAAAAATTTACTCATTAATGAGAAAATGGCTGTAAAGTGAAACTTAATGAAGAATCCAAACTATTTCAGAATTGATAGTGTTATGTGCGTACTGGTTTGTAATGGATAGAATGCACGCAGAGTTGATAATAGCTTTATAAATTTTATTTTCCAAAAAGAAACACTTTACATTTGTGCAACACTTTCCAAAGTACTTTTACTCCTCTTCTCAGTATGACAGAGCACAGTCAGTAGTTATTGCTTCTAACTATAAGAATGTTAAATGCAATGCAAAAAACAAATCTGACAGGGAGATCTCTCAGTACTCTAAAGCCTATGCTGAACTAAAAGCTGAGAACTAATGCTCTGCTCAGGTCTTGCATAATTTTGCCATCGGCGAATGAGAAATTTTCAGCACCTTCCATTTCTTGAAATTACTGGAAGTACATGTACAGTTACACATGGGGCAGATGCAGTTACGGTTACCTATAAGAATCAGACCGAGTACAGTTGTATAGGGATCAAACCAAAATGTTACCAAATTTGGCAAGAAAAACTACTCAACAAAATCATAAGCCAACTTGGCGCTGTCTTGGCCAGCTGGCATTTTGGCAAGATAGCCATTTACATCAATGTTAAATAGGCCTATCCTCGTTAATCTTATTTTTTTGTGGAGCTATGATTTTTCAAAGTATTTCATTTTCATTGTTGTCTGACGTGTCTTTTGATTCTGAATCTTAAACAAAGTGCTGTGAATCAAAATAGTTTCGAGCTGGTATTATTACACACAGAAGAGTTAGTGCTGTAGATAACACTTTGAAAAGAAGTTAATAATACCAGCTTTCTGTGTGGGATGATTTCTTCATTTTCTTCTTCATTCATGCTACTTAAATGTTCATTTGGTAAACTGTTTTCAATCAGTTCTTCAACTGTGCATAAGTCTGACACCATTATATTGGTACCACAGTTTACATATTTGTCCACTGTTACGCATAACCCCAGTAGTTTCCAGTTTTCCTCACCCATAATCACAGTTTCATCATCAACCTCGTCAACAATTTCACTTGATTCTGGGTTCGAAAAAACCTCTTTAATGAAGAAATTTTTCGTTATTAGTGGTTTTGAGGAATTAGTAATCTCGAGGTTAAAAAGTGAAATCTTCATAGTGTTTATAATCCTTTGTTATACATGCACTTGTATACAAATATGTAGAATCTTTAAATTATACTCTATGAACATTCTTTATTCATTCTTTGTAACAATAAAATTTTTTAGTGAACTTTCCTCTTTCCTTTTTGAGTTAAACTTATATGGCTTGAGTCTTATCATGTTTGTACCACTGAATTCCTTAAATATAATAATGATTATAAAAAATGATAATAAAATGCTTGTAAGTAATGTTATAGATGAAATTTGTTCTTTCATTCATTTGGTAGTTCAACATAAGATTCTTGTTGAATTTCAACACTTATTAAGCTGTGTATTTGATAATGTATAATAATGTGGGCTAATAAAATATATTAACTTCGAAGTTAATTCCAAATTATTAGTTAAAATACTGTATGTAGTCCTAGGTTGACTTCGAGAAAATAGAAAAGGTTGGGGCTGTTATGAAACAACAAATTGGAGCCTATTTTGTGCCAAAAGCATCAGTGTTTAAACTCTAAATTCAAAGAAAGATTCCGTGATGTCAGAGGTATTGAAGATAACTACCCCCCTTTTCAGCCAATGCTGAGAAAAGTGCTAACCCGCAGGTCTAATTAATAGAAATTCTGTGTGACTTGGCTTTAAAGCAAAAATTCAGTTGTGTGTACCTAAATTTCGTGAATACTTGCCTGTGTGGTTCTTAGAAAGTCAAAAATTTGCATTATATGTTATTCCATGTTAGGTAGTAGGTATCATTGCGAACATGTTTTTTCATTCACTAAAAGGAACAAATCTTCAGACTGAACAGATGAATGACTGTTAACTTGGATCTTGCCAGATTAACAGTCATTCATCTAATCTTTGTTCTGAAAAATTATTAGAGTGAGCAACATATCTCCAGCCATTTGAAACCTGGTTGCGGGAAAAAGATGCCACATGTCGGAGAAGAAATAATCATGCCCAAATTTCTTTATATTCCTTCTATTACTTTAACCCTCTAAGCGTTATGGCCGGCTTTGTCCAGTCATGAGATTTTGGTCATTTGTTATATATTAGCTTATAATTCATGATATTTTGCTTTCTTACTTTCTTTAATAATATAAATATCATCTTAATAAACATAAGTTTATGAAAATAGAGCCTAAAGTAAGTAAATATACAAATTTAGCTAATAAAGTATCTTTGAATACATGTCTTCATGACAGATCCAAAAACCCATGCCACTCAGAGGGTTAAGAACTATTGTATTAGTTAAGATTATGTATACTTTTTAAATGTATTATTAAGCATGAGAGTGACTTTTCTTCATTGCAACTCACTCTTTTGTATACTGATGAGTGTTTGGCCCACTTGAATTGCTGAGTTTAACGTGGCTGTCTTAGTGTATCTTGTCAAACAAATGTTTTGAAGAATAATTCTTATACTAATGAATCTAATATAGAAAAAAATTGTGATTTTTATTAATAAACTATAAAACAGCATAACTCTTATTTATTTATTTTAGGTTGTTGTTACTGAACCAAACACACAATTTATAGAACATATAATTTTTATTCTGAAAAGTGTACTCGAGAATAAAGTCGATCATACTGCAGAACATCTTGGTGTTAGCAGTATTGAGGGAATGATGTTAGCTATTGTAAGGTATTGTTTTTATATTAATTTTATTTTTGTTCCTTAAGTAGTTATAAACCATGTAATTAAATATATATATATATATATATATATATTTTTCCTTTTATGTCATCACAGATATGTACGACACTTGGATACCACAGTTCATGCCATTCAGATCAAAACAAAACTATGCCAACTTGTTGAAGCTATGATGGTGCGAAGAGATGATTTAGCCTTCCGTCAAGAAATGAAATTCCGTAATAAACTTGTAGAATATTTGACAGATTGGGTAATGGGTAATAGCCATCAGCTTGCTCCACCGAATTCTGGTGATGTAACGACTTTAACAAGAGACCTAGATCAATCTTGTATGCAAGCTGTTGCAGCTTTATTGAGAGGCTTACCACTGCAGCCAGAGGAGAGTGATAGAGGAGATTTAATGGAAGCTAAATCACAATTATTCCTGAAGTAAGTGCTATTTTGCAAGTCATGATGGTTTTTTGTGTGAATAGATACCTCAAATCATTGATGAGGATAGTGTTTAAATTGAAACTAATAATTTATGACTAACTTACAATACAAACTGTTTTCAAAGTGAAAATTTTGAATTAAAAGAAATAATTTTGTTGCATCCGTGTTTGTAATAAATGAAATCTAAGATGAATATATATTTTAAAAAGTCGACAATACCTTTGATGCTTGTGATAGAAAGAATATTAGTTTTTTCAATTTTCCTGTTTCCTCAGTAGATGACACTAATTCTTGTTTTCCTTTCACTCTTGATCAATATTTCGTAAACAGTATTCAATGAAACTGTGGGATTCCATGGAGATCATTCAATGGTTTGACGAAAGGGATTCACAGAGACCATTCAAGGGTTCTGAGAATGCATTTTTACCTTTAGAACATTCAAAAAGTAACTTGAACATAAATAAGTGAATAAATAAGTAACTCCTGTACAAAATTTAAAAAAATAAGTAAATAACTCCTGTACGAAATTAAAAAAAAAGGGGGGAATAAGAATAAGCCTTTGCTTTCACTTAATAATCAATGCAAATGCGACAGCCTAAAGTCATGTTATGATGTTAAGCTTTTACTTATTGATGAACTTTGTTGGTTCCTATAACATCTCATCACACATACTGTTCTACAAGATTAGAAATAAAAACACACATCTTGGGGCTATCTTGTAAATTATGAGGAAATCCAACCAGATAACAAGCACTTATTTTTAGAAGATTACACACACAAATACAAGGAGAATCAAAATTCATGCTGCATTCTATCCTGTGCATCTGCCAACTGAAGTATTGTCATATCACATGATCCTCAAAAGATATTAAAATTCGCTTGATGAATCATCGTTTACTTTAAGTAGCATGTGATCCTGACTGATGGAGGCAGGTTTTAAAGGCTAAAATTTTAAAAACCTAGAAAGTTTATTCATAATTTTTGTTTTATATTCAACTGTTAACAATATGACCAACATAAATAACCATTTGAACTTTATTTGGTTTTAAAAGGTAGCTGTCTCTGTATTTTTTTGGCCTTAAAATCATATTCAATATTTTCTTGAAATATTTGTCATCTTTGAAAGAACATTTTAATTAGTGCTGTCAGTGGAATTTTGGTGCAGTTTGAAAGATGAATAACGTCAACTATCACACAGGTCCATGTCAACACTTTTACCACTCAGCTTATTTGTTGAGAAAAATAAATACCATACTGATATTCAGACTGATACTGAACCTGACGTGAAAATTCAACTTTGATCCGTAAAACCTAATATTAATTATATCTAATATTAAGTGAAGGAAAAAAGCAGTACGACTCATCTCCTTAAAATTTAAATTTCAAAGTTTTTTTAATACATTATTTTATGGTATATTAAGAAGTTTGGGTTAATTTTAAAAATTCCTTTTTACAGGAAATTAATATTATTTTATTTTGTAATATCCTGCAGTGAGAAAAATGCTTTAACATTCACATATTTATAAGAAGAAAACTTTAAATGTAATCCATACAGCTGATCTATTTTATCACAAATAATGGCAGTGTTTTAGAAACTTGTTCATTTGACACTGAAAGATTAAATTTAGAGAAAAAAAGATAATAGTGTTATAGTTAGTTTAGAGAACCTGAACTATAGAGCATGGTATTATTATAAATTATACAGCTGGTTAAACATGCATTTTTTCTATTAATACCAGCAACTGTTCGGCTAGCTCAGTGGTCGGCAAACTTATTAGACAAAGAGCCAAATATGAACATTACAACAATTTTTTAAAAAAATTGGGAGCCAAATCTGCTTGTTTAGTAATTTTTTACTACACTAAATAAAACTAAATTTAATACTTAATAAATATTTATTAATGCGAACAATGTGCTTGCATCTCCTTGGAAAGTTTGAGTAAGTCAGGTTTGTACGTTGTTTTTAATTTTAGGCATGATTCCAAGTTATCATCAATAAGACGACTTCTCAGTTTACTCTTGATAATGTTCATGCTTGAAAAAGATTGTTCGCATATATATGTAGAACCGAAAAGGGAAAGAACAACAAATGCAAGCTTTTTCAGCTGATCGTGAGAGTCAGGAATACTATTTCAAGCATTGAAAATGATCATGTCTTCCTTCTCCAGGTCATTCAAAGCAGACCACTTGTGTTGTGAACTAAGATCACATTTTTCTTGTCCAATATTTCCAGTTCAAGACAAAGATGTTTGAATTTAGAGCACCATATCTCCTTGTTTTTTTAATTCAGCAATTGTATTTCAAAGCTACCAATGTCAATTTCAAAAGGAGAAGATTTCAACTCGATTATCGTAACATTAAGAGGATTTTTGACAAATGCTAAAATTGCTCTGCTGTTTTTAAATTCTTGAAACCTGCTGAGAAATGCTTCCCTCATATTTAAAATTATTGTTTTAAAATGATGTTTATCAATAGAAGAATTATTTTATTGGCGATGCTTCAGCAGGCTCGGAAAGTGAAACAATGTTCTGCTTTCAAAATCCTGTGCAAAAATGGGTAATTTGTTTTCGAATGTTATAACGTCTTCAATCATAAAAAAAAAAAAAAAAAATTTAGTTTGCTTTCCCTTGTCAGTTTACGAATTAAGTTGATTAATTAGAAGAGACGTAACGTCTACCATGAAATGAAAGTTTTGGATCCACTCATCGTCTGTTAGTTCTGGATAGTGAACTCCCTTCTCAAGGAGAAATGCTTTATTTCCGGAAAAAGGGACACGAAACGTTTTAAAACGCATTCCCTCTTGATAACCAGCGTACCTTGTACCTTGTTATGAAGCAGAAGATGAGCGTACTCACTCTCCATTTCAAATAAAAATTCTGAAATGGAGAGATTGGTGATGATTAAGAGCTTTAGCTAAAATGGAGTTAATAATGGTAATCACTAATTCCATAACTTTACAAATTTCTTCCGGAAATGTTTGTGCACAAAGCGCTTCTTGGTGAATGATAGCAATGGTAAACAAGTATCCTGTGATTAATTTTTTCTTTCAAAATAGCAACAACCCCTTTTCTTACGTCGATCATACTTTTGGCCCCATCTGTTGATATCGACACAACTTTATCGAGGGGAATATGATGTTTATCCATACACTCCATTACAGCATTGGTGATATCTTCTCCACGCATGCCTGACCTTTGCGTGGCAATAATCCTTAAAAGTTCTTCTTTATGTCCTGAATGAGACATAAATCTTGCAAAAAGTGAAACTTGCGCTGTATCATTTATGTCACAAGACTCGTCATCTGCTATTGATAAAGCTGAAACCAATTTCAGATCTTCGATATGCTGGGTGGTTATATTCGAACACATTTTAATTGTTCTATCTTTAATGGTTTTTTCAGACAATGGTAACTCTTTAATTCTTTTCAGAATATCTGCTTTTTTCTTAAAATGCCGAAATAGCTTTTCGAATGCATTTATAAAACAATTTTTATGTATTTGTCATCTATGTACAGTTTTCCTCTCTTAGCAATCTCTTGGCTACAAACAAAACTTGCCATATTAATATTGCTGGAAGATTGCATCCAGTTATTAAACACAGAAGTTGACGACTCCTCTGAAGTTCCTCAACTGCTTTCTTCCTTTGTGTCACCGGTGGTAGGATATTTAGTGCTAAATGACGCGTACTTTCTTGTAAGGTGTCTCTCTAAATTTGACTTATTGTTATGCGCGAATTTCTCCTTACAAATAAGACGTGTCGGAAGTCCATTCAAGTTTTGAATAAACGCAAAATTCTCGGTCCACTCAACTTTAAATTCGCAGTTTTCATCTTCCGTTTTTCTTTGCTTTTTTTTGGTAGCCAAGTTAATTGGGGTGCCTATAAAAATATTCCAAATATATTTTTTCTAAAGACACCAGTACAAAATTATTATCATTATTAAATTAATGAAAATAAAAATTTAAAAAATCTTTTTAAATAATACAATTTTATTAATATATGTAACTGCAATAAAAAGAAAAAAATAATTTTTTCCATCATCAGAATAACAAAACTTTTAAGATGATCGAAAATGGAAGAAAACTTCCAACATTTGGACAAATAGAAGTTATCGAAAAATCGATTACAAATTTTGTACCGGAACCACAAACATACATAGCAGGTGTAATAAAATCGTATAAAAATACCGGTAAGATGTGCAGCTAGATTAAAAAGTACAACAACTTTTTAATAAGACAGGACAATGGCAGACAAGGTAGATAAGACAAAACTGTTCACACTGCAACTGTTGCTCTGTGATGCCAATTTGTACCTTAACTACTTTATAAAATGTATGCACGCACATGCCGGTAGCTTATACATGGTTTATGTTTACGTTTACGAAAACTAATAAAATTAAACTCGATGTTCGTTACGTATTTTTACAACAATATAAAATTTTAATTACCTATCTATCTTTTGACTCGAACAAAAAATTATACATGTTCTCGATTTATAGAAGAATTTTAATTTATCATAATAAGATGTAATTTTTTTCTTACATAATAAGATGTAAGTTTTTTTTTTAATGAAAATATTATTGCACCTTCCGTGGATATTTGTACCAGAGCCGCACTTAAGGAGCTAAAGAGCCACATGCGGCTCTGGAGCCGCAGTTTGCCGATCACTGGGCTAGCTGAATAGAATTCATTTGTTAAGGATTGCTTGTGTGATAAGCAGAAAACAACACAAAGCACATGAAATTGACACCTATTCATAACTTATGTAATGGTTTATAAAATTAGAAATTCTGACATTAATCTGTCATTTTTGATGTATTTAAAGTATCAAGGATCTTATAAACCCTATGAATTTAAGTCGATAATATATGGAACTGGCTTATTATACATAAGTTACTTCAAGAAATTTTTTTGTGTGATATATTCCTATTCATGGTATAAGCAGTTTTCATATCCAGCTGGGAACTAAAAGATAAGTATTTAGTGAAAGATAAGTGCCCC